ATGGTAAAAGAGGAAATAGAATAATGTTTTTTCTTATACTTAAATTGTGAAATTTGATGTGGATGTTTGCACTTAATACTTGAAAGGTACAAACTGTTCATAAGATTAAAAGCTGTGTTTCTACTAAAATACTTTAATAGCCTATGCTTTTGCTAACATATGTCATTTAGAAAAAAAAAGCTTTTTCAATAGCTTTTATTTTTGTACTTGTCATATACTTTTTACCTTGCTACTAAAACACAGAAAAACAGTAGTGATAATAAATCCAGCTTTTCTTGGTGACCAAAGTAAAAAAAAAAGTACTTTGCTTGTAGTACTGTACCTAAATTTACTCTTCTGTTACTTCTATACAAAAGTCACATACTAGGTTAGTGAGAAAACTATTTTATACCTTTTTTTATTGTAAATTTATTTTGATTTTTTTTGTAACCAAATAAATTATTTTATAATGAAATTCATAATCAAAAATATATTCATTGGAAGTGTTAATTTTTGTAAATTTTTATTTTGGGTAAAAGTTTATTCTTTTTTGTTTTTAGTGCTTATGGCTCTCTGACAGTGCGTAGTTTGCTTGATATGAGAGAACACTGCTTAAATGAATTTAACTTTCCAGACCCATATTTACAGGTAAGTAATTTTATTTATTTTTATTCTTTTCTAAAACACATTCATCAAAATGGGTAATAAAAGATGTAAGTGAAAACTAACAGTTTTTATGTCAGGTTTTCGTGTGAATTTGAAGTTATTTTTAAGTTGTTTGTCAGGTAATTATACTTACCTATTTGTAAAAATGTTTAACATAATTTGAACAGTTTCTGTAATATTCTATATGTAACATAAGCTCCAATACAGTTATTACTTCTACATTACAAAAGTGATTACTGTTATAATACAAGGAAACACATTAACAGAGTTAATCATAGCCCTCTATTTATTTATACTATCCTTTTGTCACTTATCTGTGGTAATTTTATAATAAAAAAATCATCTCTACAAATTGACATGTCTCACAGCACAGTGCACCAGCTGATTAGCAATCTTTTTTATGTATCTTACATTTTCTTTCTAAATTTTAATTTTTCCTTATCTTGTACCATTTTTCACTGTTTCTCCTTTGAATTTTTATTAACTGATGAGGCCTTTCCAGATTAAAATTATTAATAGCTATACTTTCACAATTCTTAGGATCATTTGATGATTTTTATTTTTTGTTCTGGGTTGGTGCAAAATTCCTTTTTGAGAGAGCCAAGCATTGCTGAGTGGTTAGCATGCCTAATTGTGGACCTGAGGTTCTGTAGATCATGTCCCATTACAACCAGAAGAAAAATCACATTCTGCACTTTGGAGTGATGGGTGGTGTTCACTAGTTTCCTTCTCTCTCTAGTTTATTACTTTAAAGTTAGGGAACCACTAATGTAGATAGCCATTGAAGAGTGCTGTACAAAATTCAACAAAACAAACAATATTTTTAAGAAGAGTCTCCTGCTACTTGTTTTACCTTGTCTGGTCTGCAGAGCATCTTTCAGGTGTTGAGTGCACACCTGCATATCATATTTCAAACTTCAGGGAAAATAATAATCCTTTATTTCAATGACTGTAACTCAGAAATATTTTATAATTGGTATTTTGTCCTTTGGTAAAATGTAATTTGCAAAGAAACTGTCATCTCTTGAGAATATTATTATTATTATCCATGTTTTATTTCTTGCATGATTTAACTTTATTTCTACTGATTTTATCACTACAGCTTTTATCACCTGGTATGAATATGCATTCATTGTGGTGAACAAAAGAATTAAAACACTATACATATGATATACAGTTCTCTTTAAAAGAAAACTTTGTCCAGTTTTTTCTATTTGCTCTTGTCCGGGGTTGCTGATGAGGATTGTAATTTCTTGAAATGGAGATAATTCAGTGACACGTGGTGAAACAAATGGTAGATTAGGCCCCATATTTATCTATTTTGATCTTAAACAGCTTGACTGCTTAATAAATATGAAGCATAAATTAATAGCATCAGTGCTATACATTCTTCAAATCATGTATAAATATAGATTCACTATAGTGAACAAAAGACAACTAAAAATACCATACTTTTCTAGATTGTTGTTTTTCAGTAGGTTTTTGATGGAAAAAAAAAGACTTATCTATTAACCCCATTGTATCTGGTGTTAGACAGTAGTATGTCTGTGGACTTACAATACTAGAAACATGGTTACGATACCCATGGTGCGCAGAGCACAGATAGCCCATTGTGTAGCTTTGTGTTTAACTTCAAACAAATCGGACATGAAGATAGACACTGTCATGGCATTAATGACTATTTGCCTACAGTCAACTTACTTTCAGTACAACAAAGATTTCTATGAACAAACAGATGGTCTTGCCATGGGATCACCACTCTATCCAGTTTTAAAAGACATTTTCGTGGAAGACTTTAAACAGGAGCCATCTTATCTACAGATATAAAACCAAGTTTTTGTAGGTTTTGGTGACACCTTTGTTATTTGGCTGCATAGTCATGAAAACTTACCAGCCTTCATAGAATATCTTAATTCTGTGGTCAAAAGAATCGATTTCACTATGAAAATAGAGAAACAAAACAACCTACTGTTTCTTGACATGCTTTTCAGCAGACTGAAAGGACAAATTACTACATCTGTGTACAGAAAACCTATCCACAAGGACAGATACCTACACTTCCAGTCCTATCACCCCACTTTGATAAAATATGGTATAATCCAAAGCCTGAACAACAGAGCTGCAAATATCTACAATGAAACATCCATGAAAACAAAATGCAAAAACCATTATAGAGTGTTTTAAACAGAACAGCCATACCTCATCTTTCATCACCAATTCCATAAAAAAAGACACAACAGAAATAATAGATAAGAGGAACAATACTATTACTATTTAACTGCCCTACATGCAAAATTGAAATGAAAAACTCAAACGTATAGCCGTATATGGGACAAGAATAAAAGAACACAAAGACAGCACGACTAATGAAAACACAAAATTCAGCCATTACAGAACATACTATGTCAACTGGGCCCCAAATAGACTGGGGCAAAACTAGAATCATCAGTTGAGACAAATTTTGGGAAGTAATTAAAATAAAGGAATCTTTTTATGTCAACACAATTAAACATTCATCAAACAGAGACTCAGGCCTAGAAATTGGCAATGTATGGTTACTACTGGTTGAATCCACACTCAGTTGCTCCACTAGTCAGAGGCAGAAACAAACAACCAATAAAAATACGTCCTTCTTAATTTAAGTCCTGCAGTAAGCTCACACAAATTAACCCGAAGACGATAGGTGGAAAGACTTTCAAAATGTTGTCCTTTATATTTGAGCTGCATAAGTAGATTGTATAGTCACCAATATACTTTTACAAGTTTCTCTAATAGGCAGTTGCCACCAATTTCACAGTCAACTCAATATGAATACTGTGCATAAACTATCTGTCAAAGAAAGATAAGTATTGTTTCAAATCAAACATGTCCTGGTGGTTAAGGCACTCAACTCAAACCTGAAACTGTGGGTTCAAATTACCATCACTGAACATACTCACCCTTTCAGCCAAGGTGGTGGTATAATGTGACAGTCAATCCACAATTTGTTAGTAAAAGAGTAGCCTAAGAGTTGATGGTGGGGGTGGTGTTTACTAATTGCATTCCCACTAGTCTATCATTTTTAAATTAGGGATGGCTAGTGCAAATTGTCAGTGAGTAGCTTTGCACAAAATTCAAAAATAAATAAACAAATAAAATTCAGTTAACAGGTAAATTTTGAAATTTCTGGATTTTATTTATGTTTTGGTTAAATTAATTAAAACACATAATTTAGGCAGCATTTATTCCATTTATTATAATACTAAGGTTTTTTTGTTTTTTTTATGCTATTTGTACTTTATCATTTCTTGGTTCTTACATTTTAAATAACTGTCTTAGTTCATGAAATATTGTATTGAGACTATCAGTAATGTTAACATGTAGTTAACAGTAGTGGTTTCCACTAAAGATAATGTATTAGTTAAACTACCAGCAACTAGACCTTTCCACTCAATACTACAGCTCATCAAACAACTAGTTACTTGGTTCTCAATCAGTGCTCGAGTCCCAAAGAGAAGTGCCAAAATGCATTCTATTATTTCAACAATAGTTAAATAGTAACTAAAAATAATCTACTTCTACCAGTGTTTTTTCTTTACTCCAAGAAAGCTGAAAAAAAGATACCCAAAACAAAAATTAAAACAAGTTAATGAAATGGAAACTAAAACCAAAAAAAATGTTTAAAGACTAGTGACATTGAAAAACTATTGTTTCTGTTTGGAAAACATTTTTCAATATTTTATCCACTGTTAGTATAGTAAGACTAATCAGCTGATTATACTGTGCTACAAGGGTGTAAATAATAATGACTCAATGCGCTTTGGGTGTAACAAAGAAAAAAAGATAAATGTAGACAGAACAGTTTTGCCATTTGCTTCACCAATAGTGTGTATTAACTCATTTAAGAATAGGATTATTTATCTATTTATTTGCTTCTTTCACATGTAATGTTTATAGAGCCTAAAGGGAAATGTAAATTGAATCACTTTTATGGAAAATGCTAAACACACATATACACAAAATTGACAAAAAATACTAATGTTTTGTTCCATTTTATGTGCTAAGAGATATTCTACTGTAAAGAAGATTATTTATTTATAAAGTGCCAGAGGGCCATTCCGGCTACCAAAATAAGTGCTTAAATGGAATTTCTGTGAATTCCTCTGTGGCTTCAGGGCTGGTTTCAATGCCAACTTGTTAGTTTAAATGCAAAAAGAAAATCTCACAAAATATATATGAATGAAATGCTGATCTCTTGAGGCATATAAAAACAAATTGTCTAAACTTCAAAGACTTTTGACATGCCATGGAAAACCATGCATGTGTTAATACTTGAGCTATTGTAGCTCATTCTGACAAAGCAGTTCATAAATTCTGATTACTTTAGTGTTTATTTTGTTCTGAGTTCCTTCCTCGATTATGTCCTTTTTCCAACTAGCAAAAGAGAATGGAGAATGAACAAGCATTAAAGGTACTTAGCCAAAAGTTAAAAGAACTAGATGAAATGACATGGGAGAAGCGCCAAGAAGCGCTGGTGGTGGGACTTCTAGCAGGAAATGTTTTTGACTGGGGAGCAAAAGAAGTAGCTACCTTATTGGAAACGAGTGATTTTGGTTTTGAAGAAGCACTTGGAAAACTACAAGGCAGGTATTTATTATCAGTTTTGATTTTATATATATATTCATAATTTTTTGTGTATATTTAATTTTTTTGTAACTCATAGTTTTGTACCTGAATTGCTACTGTTACGCTGCATATGAGTGTTATTAAACTACTTGTAATGTGGTGACTTGGAGGTATTGAATGAACATGAAGCAGAAAACTGTGTTTAATTTAACTTCACTAACTAATAATACTGTGGAAACATTCCTTTTAATAATATCTACTAACCAATTTTGCTTAAGCATGTGTTTATGTTTTTCCTTATGATATTACTGCTAATTTTCATAAAATTTAACAATAATTATCATAAAAAAGAAACTAAAATAGCAACAGAATAGTGTATTTATATGCATGCTTTTTTGTTGTGGAATTTTTTTTCTTGCTCTGTATCAGTATGTTATTGTTATTATGTAAGTACATTTAATATACTTCTCTTACTAGTAGTACTTGCATATTGTTATTATTATTACTTACCTTTTATGCTTGTATTTATTAACTTTTTACTGTGATTTCTGTTTTGTTAAAAATATGCTCCTGTATTATATTTTGGTACTTAGATGATGGGTGGGATTATATCCATTTATGGAATACATTGCTCTAAAACATCTTATATGCATAAGTTGATCTTCATAAACATACTTGAAGCAGTGTTACTTGAAGATGATTTTTTTTCTAAGTTCTTTACAATCATAAATTTGTTTTGTTGTTTCTTAGCTAGACCATGGCTTTGTGACAACTTAGACCAATGGATTGAAAGGCTTAGGAACCATTCACATAAATGTGCTGCCATCTTTGTGGATAACAGTGGAATGGATGTTGTTTTGGGTGTAATGCCATTTGCACGGGAGCTGATTAGAAGAGGTACTAAGGTAAAATCAGTGATAATGTTTCTGATTTTTAGTAGTTGACTAGTATTTTTAGAACTAAATTTTCATGAACCTGGTTGATAAAAGTGTGATTATTTATCATATGTATGGATATGATAAAGTGAAATGCTAAATATATAGAGCAAAATGTATCTTATTTTAGAATAGGCAAAAGGCATATCTTGAAACTTTAGACACATTTCTAGAACTAATGCTTAAGACTGGCAAAACTTGTAAAATGTTTCATGTTTCTGTGTAATTAATTTCATGCTTTATAAAGTAAGCAGGAAACATGGGGTTATTTAAAAAAGATACATACTAGAATGACTAAAGTGCAGACAGTTAGACCAGAAATGGAAAAATAAACCTTGATGGCAGTCGGGTGGGGGGGCTGTTGCAGTAGTAGTGAAATTTGAAAGGCAAATTTGTTTTGTTGCTTAAGAGCTATAATAGTCAACATTATTTATACATTAAAAAGCCCTCCATGTGCTCCTTTTAATGATACACACACACATACCTATTCAGTAATGAAAATACTTATGGAAACACCCAAGTGATACACATATAAGAATACAAATGAGTAATGACAGTTAGATGGCAGCTTTGTTGATGACACAAAACATTATCAAAGTAAATATAAAATAAAAATGGATAAAAAATAAAATGCACTAGTATACTGTGAGGTCTTTGCTTTCAAGTTACACTTTTGTTTTCATGCTGCCAAACAGTTTATCAACATGTGCTTGTGGAATGTTGTTTCAAATGTTCCTGTATTACTTCCTGTAATCCAACCAAGTTTTTTGGTCACTTTCTGATCACACTTTTTACCTAAGCCTATACAGCTTCATGAATTCTTATACGGGACGTTCTACCATCAAGATATCATTTCACCACAGTTGCTGTATGTTTAGGGAACATTTTCTTGCTGGAAGATAAATTCCAGCTGATGTATCATGTTCCTAAGGGAATGATGTGATGTATTAGAATGTGCCAAGGTGCCATCAATTTTATATACATCACAAACACCATTGGTTGTAATGTAACCCCAAACTTGTACTGATGTCCTACCATGGCTTACTGTAAACGTTGTACATCCACTATGATATCATTTTCCTCTCTGCTATTCAAACAATTCAAATATGATTCATGTTTAAGGAACACACATCTTCAGTTTTGCTTATTCCACTGTTTGTTATGATTGGATTTCAATCCCAGTAAAACTGTCAATGTATGAATATACTCTGTTGCAATCAATTTTAACACAATAAAGGAGTGACTTTTGTGTAGTATTTGCTTTTTGTTACCTTCTTTCCTTACTTGTTACACACACACACACACACACACGGATTTCAGTTTAACAGCTGAACATCACCACTAAGTTACAGCATAATGTTACTGATTGATTGATTGCAGACTTGAACTTACTTGGTATTCAGACAGTTTTAAGGCATTATGTTAGTTGTTTTTTTTGTAATTAGTGATAACTAGTTTACATACTTAAAACAGATCATGCCATTTACATACTTTCTGGTTTACCAACTCTTCATCCATATTTAAGATATAATTATTTTTACTGTGTTTCATTATTTCTGTAGTCTCTCTAATATTTATAGCTGTTGTATTATTCGGTTATGCCAAAATAACAGTTTTTTCCCCACTGGATGACAAATCATGTTTAATTTGCATGTTCAGCTAGTGCAGAGTTTTCACTTTTGTTTTAACATTTCTCTTACGTATATTTATTCCAAATTTCAAATTTCTTCTAGGTTGACCAATGTATACACAACCACATTCACATTCAATTTTATAAATACCTGTTTTCTCCATTAAATTGACTTCATCTTTAGTTTTTGTTAATATTTGACTAATTTTATTAAATTGTCTATAAATTAGAATGAGTTTTTTGTTTTTTTTAAATTAAAAAAAAATTTGTCATGACAAACATATAGTAAAATAAATATTTCCTTTTTTATCAAATGTTGATTTTAGTTTACTTTTTTGATCATAATTTGTGATTTTGTTAAAGTTTCTCACAGTTATATCAACAATATTAGATGAGAAACCTCTATCTAATGCTACATATTTGATTAACAGCAGTTTTTTTTTCTGGATTAGAACATAGCTTTAAAGACACATAGACATAAGAATAAAAAGCTGACATTTTTTATGACTTCGTGTGACATGATTCTTGGTGTGGTGGCATGATAACAAAAAAGGTTTATGACAGACAGTAGTTTCTAACTTATTTTTGTCTTTCTTAACTAATATGACCAAAAATGGTAAACTGTTATTTTCTTCAATTTCATAAGTAAATTCAATAGTAGGTTCCAGACTATTTAATAAGTTATTTCTGGTTAGGTTATTCTTTGTGCCAATTCCAAACCAGCTCTGAATGATGTAACAGTTCAAGAACTGAATGTTCTAATGCCGAGGATTGGTGCTGTATGTGACGATATCCAGCAAGCTTTTACTGAGGGTTCACTTGTGGTGGTTGATTCAGGTCAAGGATCACCATGTTTAGACTTAAGGTTTGTAAGATATGTTGTAAACAATCCTGCCAGTTTGACAGTAAAAAAAAAGTGTAAAAATAATGTAAAGATTAATAGACTATGAATATTAAAAAAAACACTAATACTACTACCACATCACAACATAGATACATTTTTAAAAAACAGACACATTACAGTTTTCTGATAGTATTTGTTCTTCCACATGTAATAATTATTATACATTGATCTTATTTTATTTAATGTTCTAGGGTCAAAAAGTTATTTGGACTTTATTTTCTTTTATTTGATCATGATTTTATATCCATATGATTCTTACTGATTTAGTAAAAACCCTTAAAATTAATTGATTTGAATAATATGAATATATATATATATATATATGTATATTTATATACACACTTATCTTTTGCTTCATTATCTTCACGCCCCCCAGTAGCACAGCGGTATGTCTGCGGACTTACAACACTAGAATCTGGGTTTCGATACCCGTGGTGGGCAGAGCACAGATAGCCCAATGTGTAGCTTTGTGCTTAACTTCAAACAAACAAACAAACATTATCTTCACATAGATTTTGTTTTTACCTCTGACCCCATCTTTCAACCCATCATTAACTTCTATTGGCTAGATATTTTGATAGATCATGAAATATTGTATAATACTCTTCTGTTAAAACTAGTTTGAACACTCAATACTGTGAATTTGGCATTGCAGTATATGATGAAGAAATTCTAGCTTTGTTTTACTTTTTTCAGTAGTAGATTCAGTTGTTTATTTTTTTCTTTAGGAAATATTATAAAGAAGTCAAAATATTCAAATAGAATCATAATCTATATGAAATTTTCTAATAGTTAGGGTAAACAAACATGCTGAAATAACATTTATAATAATTTTACTTGCTTATGTAAGAAATTGTTTTTGTATATAAAAGCATCTTCTCTGTCATTTTGTTCCTGTTGACCTTAATGACCTGAAATTGGTGTCATCCAGTTCACTTTTTCTAAGTATTTCAATTAGAAAAAAACTTGAGTACTAACTCAGTTTGTCAGTGTTTCTTTAGGTTTCATTATAATCATGATAGATGCTAAACTTTGTTCTTGCTCATGTTTCATGAAAAACTTTTTCTTTAAATTGCAAAGTTTTTTCTTTCTGTAAGCTTGAGGTCATTGACGTACAAAATTTTGTCAATAATGGTACGAGTACAATTTTTTATATAGTTTTAAAGAAGTTAGGCAAATAATATTAAATACTATTATGAAAACTTAGCATTGCCTAGTTGTAAGATAACCTTCAACAAAGTACTATTAATGATAATTGAGGATGGATAGTTTATCTGGACACAAGAACTTTATAGTTACACCTGTTGTCCTCTAAAACTTGTTTTTAATTTGATTTTGATGAGATAAAATATCATACATGTATATATAAAGAAATGAAATTATTGAATGCTTATGAATACAACACTTTGTGTAGTTTTTTAAAAATTAGAATTTGATAATGCACGTTTGGTTATCTATCTCATTTTTTTCATATTTATTGTTCTTTTTTGTTTACTGTCTTTCCAACATATTAGTCGTCTGAACGTGAAGGTAGCTGAAGAGATGCACCATCTTGGGACAGATTTGATTTTGTTGGAAGGCATGGGTCGTGCAATTCACACTAATCTGAACACTATGTTTACATGTGAAGTTATCAAAGCAGCTGTCTTAAAAAACCGGTGGTTAGCCAACAGACTTGGTGGAGTCATGTATTCTGTTATATTCAAGTATGAAAGACCATCTTAGCAATTAGTTACCTTGTATTTAACCTGATCTCTAGAACTGATGGTTAACCAACAAAATTGTTGGAGACCTTACTGTTTCATGTTCAAATGAACATCTTGCTGAAGTGTCATTACCTGATGGTTAACTGAACCATGGATCTGGTGTTTAGAGACAGAGTCTCAGACATTAAATGTTTTACAGGAAAATCCATCCAAGCGATCAATTACCTTGTGGTTAACCTGAGATCTAGAACTGGTGGTTAGGTAGCAGACTTGTTGAAGATTTTATTATGTTTAAGTATGAAACACCTTTGAATCAATTAACTTTCACATTATTAGCATTAGAACTGATGATTACTTAGCAGGTGTGATGGAAACATTTACTTTTTTTCTATGAAAACACATCATTATTGTTAGTTAGCTGGTGGGTAACATGGGCTTTAGAACTAATTTTTTCCTGATAGGTTCAGTGGAGAAAGGTTATGTTAGCCAATAAAAAGAAAGTCCTAGTGATTGATTACCTGATGGTTAACCTAAAATCTAGAACTAGTAATTTGCTAAACAGACTCAGAAGAAATGCATTAGAAGACCTTCTTAGTTACTTACTTCATTATTAGCTTAAAATTTTAGGATTGATAGTTAGCTACTAGTGCAGTAGAAAAAAAGAAAAACTATATGAAATTAAAATGATAAAAAGCAATCCAAGGAAATATTTAACTTTGGTTTATATAAACTTTTCTTTTCAGACATATAAACTATAAATCACCATAATAATTAAACTTCTTTTATTGTGCTTGAGATTCAAAAAGGACCTGATGGAGGTTTGAGTAAGGTAAATAAGGCAAAACAGACACACTGCTTCGTTTTCTCTCAGTTAAAACTGTTATTATTGATTATTTGTTATGTAAAAACTGTGTGTTGGTGAATTTCTTTGAATGAAATGCAAGATAACTGGCTACTGATAAAAAAAAAAGTTTAAAGAATCCATTCAACTTTTATAAATCATTTGCAAAGGTCTTTGTTCCAGTTCAGTTTTAAAAATCTTATATGTTAATATATAAACACAAAGGTTTTGAATGTTGTGGTAGGAAAGTTCTGTGGCATTATTCAAAATAATTTTAATGTGAATGCAGTAGATTTATCTAGATAGTTTTGTCTTTTCTCTGAACTAAGTTTTTTACGCTCATTATTAACAAAATATAATATTCTAGATGTCAGCTTTCTGTTGCAATTTAATTATGAAATGTTGATGTAATTTTATATTTTGCTGTTACTTATTAGTAGGGTTATATTGATTGAATTACAAAGAAAATGTAGAAACAAGTTTATGAAGTAGTTAAGATTAGGAGTTTGGTTAATGTGAATTTGTACTTAATTTTTGTTAAAACAAGCATTATAATTTGCTTGTAATTGATAATGCATGTGTATCGGTTATGTTCTTGCCTTGTTGTTATAATAGATGATATATTGTAATATCTGAAATATTGTAAAGTTTGAAACATGAAAAATTGACATTAGGGTAAATCTTGTTGAGTAGGAGCAGTAATATTTTGATTTTTGATCATCAATTTCAATTTAAGTATAACAGTAACACATGCTTAGTTTGCAGTACATCTTTCATATAAACTAGACTTGGTATAATTCTAACCATTATAGCAAACAATAGGAAACATACTTACTGTATTTTTCGGAATATAAGACGCACCCTTATTTTCAAGACAAAGTTTTTTGGGAAAAAAACGCTACAGTCACATTTGAAAGATTTTTGTTGAACAAAAAATTCAATTTGATACTTTAAAA